TCAGCATCTGCCGAACCACACTCTGAGGAGTGGCTGTGATCAAATCAGACTTTGTCCTGGAGGCCATTTGAACTAAGCTTTAAAGAACGGCTGGGTAGAGACACAGAGGAGGGAGGACCTAAAAGTAATGAAAATACCAGATTCATTAGTTCTCGTTTTAACAGAGAAAAGAGTCAGAATTCAGGGCCCCTTTTCACTTAGTCAATGAGATTTTATTGAGCACCTATTACAGATCAGTAACTGTTTGAGGCACTGGTGCTGTAACGGTGCACAATTCAGACCAAAACCAGAAAGAAAACTCTGACATAACGGATCTGATGATCTAACCAGGAGGAAGAGACCACAAATGAGACAGGTCGGTTAAGTCTCTCTGGTGTCGTAGATGGTAGGAGGAACACAGTGGCGGTGGAATGTCAACTCCACCGAGAAAGTGGGGGTCTGGGCCGGGGGGATATCTGGGGGCTGAGCCTCCAGGCCGAGAGGCAGCCCAGGAAAAGGCCTGGCTGTGGAGCATGCCCGGCAGCTGTGGAGGAGTGAGGGATCTGGAAGCCGCGAGGAGGATGAACTGTAGGTCGGCAGGGGGGTCAAAGCGAGGAGGCCCGCTAGGTGGCCGAGGGTGGCCTGGCCCGGGACAGGCGGCCAGAGGGAGGGAGGTGGGAGGATCCTGGGTCTGGGCTAAGGTGGAGGCTGGGGAAGGAGGGGCCCGCATGCCTTCAGGAGGTGGGGTCACCGTTATCTGCGCAGGACTGTGGTGGAGTGGACTCGGAGCGGGGAGGAAATGAGGAGCTGGGTTTATATGTGTTCAGCTTTAAATGTGCATCAGACGTCCGAGGGGAGGTGAGTTGGCACTGGTTCGCCCCAGGGTTTCAGGGCAGAGGCCCGGCAGGAGGTGAGGGTGCAGGGCTCCCAGGACACCGGGTGCCGTCGGCCGTGAGGCTGCAGGAGCTCGTCAGGGGAGTGGGGTAGACAGAAGAGAGTCCAGACACAGGGCGTCCCAGCATCGCCGCCAGGGAAAGCAGGAGGGGACGAAGGAATGAAGAGCGGGAGGCGTGGCCAGGCAGGGAGAAAGCCAGAGCGTAACATCCGGAGGCCAACGAAGAAGGCATTTCGGGGACTCAGTTGTGTTCATGCTGCTGGCAGGTCAAGTAGGGGAGGCCTGGGAACTGCCATTGTGCTCAGCATCAGAGGTCTCCATGGACCGTGCCAGCCCCCATCTCCCAGCACCTTGCAGACTGACACATACGGTGATGAGTCCAACCAGGTCTTGCTGCGTGGAGCTTACCAGCTGGCAGGAAATGACTGATCATCTGAGTAACCCTCCTTAATATCTGTCATGACTCTATGTCAGACACCTGCAGCAGGCCAGTTGTACAAAAGAATGTGTTTGCTTTGGTCGTTCACTCTTGTAGACTTGCTTTTAAGGGCAAAAAGATCTAACAGCTATGCATCTAAGTGGTCTGAGAAATTGGTATTTCCTCTCCAAGTATCTTTATTCTCTTTTTCAGCTGGCTTTGGGCATAGTATTTTGGGTCATCTCAGGGGACAGAAAGGGGAAGTATTAAGGTCCGTGGTGATATTGTATGTTACCTGTGTGTCATTTTCTCTAAATTGGCTTTATCTTTCCCAGCTATCGATCCTGTGATGTCCCTTGTTTCCTTCTTGCTTTGGTCCCAGTTTTCATCTTTCCCCCTTCTAGTAAGGTCATGATAAAAGGAAGGGGTCTTGCAGAACCTCTACCTCTTTAAATTCCTGGTCCTTGCTACAGCATCATGTCTTGGTATTAGCAGCGTTTAAAAATGGTGTTTAGTATAACTATTTATATAACTGCCTATATTGATGTAACAGAATATGCGTTAAAGCTTTGTCACATTGCCAATGACATCCCAAACACAGATGAAATCCTGTTGCACATTCCTAGCCGGTTTACACTCTAATCAGAGTTGTAGTCATGTTATTTCAGAAAAGCCATAAGTTGTTAGTGTTTTTTGCTCATCCATCATCTCGTAGCCTGTGTGTGATTAAGTTACTCACCCACTCCCCGCCGTGCAGGCATCAGAAATGTTATATTTGATGCACCTTGGCTTATTAAGAGGTGCTCAGTGGTCCCAGGTCTGGTCATGTAACTTTCAAACGATGCAGCTATTGGTATTTGTAGGTGCATTCATTTTGGCAAACTTAGCATGTGATTTCTGTGCTGCTTATTGATTTTTCAGTTTGTCAAATATTCTTTCTCATTTATTTTTAGGGTTATCATCGACCCAATCATTATATTGCTACGCAAGGTAAGTTGGTTCCAGCTTTGATGTCTTCCTCTGGTTTGTTTGCCCGCTCTGTCATTTCACACCCAGCCCACCCCCGCCAGGAGCTCTGTTGCACAGTGCTGTAGCCCCGATGATTGCAGTGTTAGCCGTCAACACACGCGCCCTGGTCTCCCATCAGAGGTCCTGGTGAGGTAATCATTCGCTTAGAACTTCGTGTTGAGATCATTAGAAGAAATGTGTTCATCAGTTAATTATTGAATTAACTCTGTCTGCCTTTAGCAATTCATCTGACATTTGCAAAAATTGATATATAGATATTCGTTGAATAAATAGATACTGAATAAAGACCTGAGCTGGTCACTGCTGGGGATGCAAGCCGAATCCAGCAAGCACCTGTCTCACATTGGCGTGGGTCAGTGGGGAGGACATTTGCACATGCAGTATCACTTAAAACCTTGTGTGCAAGGTACAGATAACAGGTTAGGGAAACTCGGACAAGAAAGAGGTGGCTTTCGGGTGGGATGATTCAAAAACAGCCTTGTGGCAGAGGTGAGCTTGCGGGGAGAAAACATCTAATGGAGAGAGACATCACGAGCAAAGATCTAAAAGCAGAGAGTCAGTGCTCCTGGGTAGAAAGTTGGTGGCTCACTTTGGCTAAAGGAAACAGAAGGAAAGTCAGAGGAACGTGTTGGGGAAGTTCATGGCGTGGTTTTGTTCTTTTTTTAATGTATTTTATTCAAGTACATTTGTTTACAATGTTGTGTTAATTTCTGCTATTGAATCACAAAGTGATTGAATTGTACATATATATATACATGGTGTGGTTTTTGTACCCCACCAGCGATGGGGCGGGTCATCTGTAGAGGGTGAGGATCGTGGGAGATCTGAGGATTTCAGGAAGAGGCATTGTCAGGGATGAGTTGGTGAGTCAATACAAGGTGAACCAAAGAAGTGCTGGGAAGCAGAGAAGACTTGATAGGGTTGAAGAGTTAGGGATGAATAGAGAATACGTTCTCTCCCTTTTATTATTTTATCACCGTTTCTGGTAATGCATCATATCCCAGAAGCAGGAACAGGGAAATCAAAAGGATGCAACCTGCCAACATTTAGGGGTTGGCGGGGGGTTGCCCAAGAGCAAGTCAAAGGAGCAAGGGAATCAAGGATGACAAGAAATCATGGATGGAAAAGTCTCAGCGTGGAGGCAGGGAGGTCAGAGGTGTCCAGTGCGCCACGAGGAGAAGGAAGGCGCTAAAGGATTGAGGCCAAGTTCAGTGAATGAGTCACGAGGTAGAAGAGGCAGTCGTAGCCAGAGACCAGAATCCCAGCACTTAGAGCAGCAGCAGCTGGTAGAACTTCCTGCATCGGTGGAAATCTTCTCTGTCTGTGCCATCCAGTATGGTAGCCGCTAGTCATTCGTGGCCACTGTTACTCAAAATGTATGCACTGCGGGACTTCCCTGGTGGCGCAGTGGTTGAGAGTCCGCCTGCCGATGCAGGGGACACGGGTTCGTGCCCCGGTCCGGGAGGATCCCACGTGCCGCGGATACCCAAAAAAAAAAAAAAAAAAAAGAAAAAGTATGCACTGCGAATGAAGAACTGAATTTGAAGTTTTAATGTTGACTTAAAGAGCTACATTTGGCTTTTCCCCACTGGTGGTGTTGGGCACCAGAGCTCTGGGGTGGACAAATTCTAGGTGTAGCCGAAGTGGAGCCTTACCCTCAATCCCCACGGCCACAGCAAAAACCTGGTGGCACCACTCGTAGAGTCCACAGTCTTACGTACACCCGGGTCCAGTGTGTTTCCTTCCCTGGAATGACGTCGGTAAGGTCTCCTTCCAAGGTCGCCTTGTAGTCAGAAGAAACACTGCACAGACAGTGCCTGGTGTGAGCCTGGCACAAGGCAGGCCCTTGTTAGGAGGTGCTAAGGGCTTCAGAGAGCAAGTGCCCAGTTTGTCTCACATCTAGACAGAACGAGGACGTGTTTCCGGACCTCTGAGTCCAGCCCTGGGAGCTTCCAGACCGAACTAACCAATGCCTGTGGAGGAACCATCACCACTGCTTCACATGGGTCCGCAGGGCTTTCAGGATGCCCCCAAGTCAGGGTCACAGCAGCTCTGATTCAATACATCTGATGATTATGTGAAATTTGCAGTTTTTACAGATTTACATGAAAATTTCATTGAGAAATATACAAAACGCTCCAGAGTTCTTGATTAGCAGCCCACGTTTTCATAGAAAGTATAAGCAAAAAATTAAATCTGATTTAGATTTTCACAGTTTTCACTGTAGATTGACGTGACTGAATAGCCAGCAGAAGTAGAGATTGAAACCCCCAAAGCCCTACATGGGTCCCCTCCCCTCGTTCATTCTTTCTGCCCCTCTGTCCCTGAGGGAGGTCACGATACTTAATTGCTTAGCAGTCGTCCTTGGCAGCCTTCAACCTCTCAAGTATTCATGAGCAAATATACTTGTAGGCAGCTTAGAAATAGCAAATGTAATGTTTGTAGGAGACCACCACGGTGCCTTTAGCAGAGAAGGGTACCCCGCTGTTCACAGAGCGTGGCCCTTTCCTCAGTGCTGGGTGGGCTACAGATTGGACTTCACGACCAGGTAGTCCTTACATCGCTATTATTGGTGCAGCAGGAGGAGGAAGGAGTGAGCAGATTTTTAATCTAATATTCAGTCCAGACAGTACCTATCACGTTATGAGTAATACCTTCAGACCGTGACGTGCAGATTGATAAGTCAGAATGTCTTTTCTAGTGTGTGCCACAAGCGCAGTGTAACTGGTGGCCTCGGGTTGCCGGTAATAAAGATTTCTGCTCATCTGCAGTAATTGACCTGGGCAAGGTAAATAGAACATGCTCGTGGGTAGCTTTCATTAAAAAACCAAAAACCACAAACAAGCTGATTCTCAGAGTCCAGCAAAAAGGGTGATGAAGACTAACAGGCAGGTGCAGTTTTTGAATCCCTCCTTTGCTCTTTTTTTTTCGTCTCTATTTTGCACTGAGATGAGTCTTTAAAATCACTTCACAGCAGGAACCCCTGAAACTACATGAATGGTCCATTTTCCTGACAACTGGTTTTTTCCCCAAGAGTTGGAAATACATAGATTTCTAGCAAGTCCCTTCAATGCAGAGGGCATGTCATGAATTTATCCCTTCAGCCTCTCCCCCTCCCTCAACTTTATTGATTTTTTCCACCAGTAACTGACTTTGACCTTTGATGATCATGGTAATGTTACTGCAAATTGAAGGGACCGCATTCAAGCCAGATCGGTGGCTTTTTGAGTGTGTTCTTCCCGTCTCCCCACCCTTTAATTGTTTTCCATCTGGCAGCTAATATATTGATGATCCAGATCACATCTGCCTGGCCAGCCATCAATACAATTACAACACTCAGGACTTAACGACTTGGCGTGCCAGGGGTCAGAGGAGGGGAACTCACGTCTGTGGCTGCGTGTCCACACAAAGAGCCGGGGCAGAGCTGGGATTTCAAAAGCTGGTTCACGGAGAGAGGCAGTACACAGGCGGGTAGGGTCACCCAGAACGGATCATAATCCTCCAAGATGATTCGGGAGAATGCCTGCCAGCCACGTGGTGCGAGAACGAGAAGCGTTCTCTTCATTGTTGTTTACGTTTATTTTTCAAACTGACTTCAAGGGTCCTGCTTGAGAGAACTCAGGAAAGACAGTGTGAGGCAGTTGTGGAAGAAATGGCTGTAAGTCTGGGATGGACATGGCTGTCCAGCGCCCAATCCCTCTGCCTCACTTCCAAGCTCATCTGTGGGCTGGAGATGCACAGAAGCATGGGGAGATCCTACCCAGAGGATAGGAAATCCGGGGGGGCACATCGCAGTCACGGGGTAGGGCACCCGCGCTTGGCCGGGTTTCAGAGGAGCCGGACGGGGGGTAGAGGGGGAGGCAGGTCTTCATCCAGAGGATGGGCCGAGTGGGAGGACACCCAAGGTCCAGGAGGAGCACGGCCCCTGGCAGTGGGCAGGAGGGAGACCGCCTGAGGGGGAAGGGTCTTCATCCACGGCGTCTTGGGTCTTCTGGGTTGCTGCTTGAAATGGATCGTCTCTCAGGACAAATTCACACAGACACACAATTTTACACAGAAGTTCAGGCATTCTCCAACTTACTAAAATCCAGCCTGAAAGATCTATACCCCCTAGATTAAGACCCCTGAATTAGAGGGGTTAAGAACAAAGAACTGACAGGTAAAGTGAGGACACATTAAAAGGCTTTGAATAAGGAGCATTATTTAATGAAAGGCAGAAAGGCAGGGAGGGAAAAAGGAAGGATGTTTCTACGCCATGTGGTGGTGAAAACAGTGCTTTAAGAAGATTAGTTAGTGTGGAATTATCCTGGAGAGAAAAACCTGCAAACAAAGATAACAGGGAGTAACCACAAGAAAATTTGGGATAGAAATGAATGACTCAGACAACAGGAATGGCAGGGGGCAGTTGTAGTTTTTATTTTACTCAACAATCCAGGTTGCATACAACTAAAGTATGTTTTCTAATACTAAATATGTTCTAGTGTCAAAACTGTTGATTTTTAAGTGTGATTCCTTCTCATTTAAGAAAAAAATGATAGATACATTTTCTTTCTGTATTCGTACTTTGGGTTTATATAGTACTTTCCTTTCTGAAACTTGGCATTTTTCTTTGTCCACCATTCAGTAAATATTAAGTGCCTTTTATGTACTAGGCTTTGTGCTGTAACTAATTTAATGTATTTTCTGTCCTCTGACCATTTAAGATATTACTCGTCTCATTTCATAAATAGATTTGATGCCCATGGGGAGAACTAACACGTAGCTGAGTGCCTGTGCCTTGCATCAGGGCTCTGCAAGCATCTCTCTAGTGTCTGGTGGGGCAGGATAATGTACGATCCCCACCTTGCACTGCGTGCTGCCACTTCTGTGGACCTCATGAAGCTCACCCCGCAAAATCACGTGGTGAATCTTTTACAAAATGAGTCTAGGATCCAGCCTCTTCCTCCTAAGTTGTGACGCAT